TTCAACATTTCATTTGTAACTTTTTATCATTATACTGAGAAGTGTAGAGAAGAAAAAGAAGTAATTTGGATCACGTTTCAAGGTAATTGGGAATCAACATGATAAAAACTATTTCCTTTGAAGTCTTCAGGAAACCGCAAAAAAACATTGCATTTTGTTATGAAATGCCCATTGCCCTTGCATTAAAAAAGGAAAAAAAATCATTTGTTTTATTTTTTTATATAAATCGAAATTCTAAATTCTTTATTTGGTTAGCATTTTTTCTCTTGAACTTTTGAACTCATCACTACATTATAATGTAAACCATCTTTTAATATTGACAAAATTTCTGTAGGAAATGCAGTGGATGTTGATATATCACCTTTCAGACCCAAGAAATTGATCTACTGATTGTTCTGGTTGGGTGTGTCTGAATTTTGGGATAATGCTGGTTCTGGCCTTCTACTTACTAGAGTACATATCTTGAAGAGGATAGGGGTGAATGCTGCTTCTGCTGCAGAAGTTTCTATTTTTTATATTTCTGCATTTATGTAACAACTTCATGAAGACTTGCTTTTATACCAGTTTACTCTTACTATTTGGGCTTGTTGGTCTGTATTTACCAGCTATGTTTTTGTCACTGTGATAAATATGGATCAAAACTGAGTAGTGGGACTAAAGATTTTTTTTTTTTATCATTGCATTCACACTCACACTGAAGTGTTTAGATATGTTCACAGCTAAGAACTTAGGTTAACTTATTTATATAGAGAATCTTTATTTCTATAGATAGTACACTCCTAATAAGGAAGGTGAACCATAGTAGATGAGACTATTGTACTATTTTATATGTATAAGTTTATGAGTATTTATGTGATAATGATAAGTAAAGTATCATTAACCTGTTGATGCTAGGAAGGCAAATGTACCTATGATATCAACTGTGGGTTTTATATATTAATTTTTCTTTCACATATATAGCTTTACATGTACTTAGTCACCAAGGAGTCAGTCAGTAGGCTGACGTGAATTTACCTGAATACCCCATTCCTAAACTTTGGGGATTTTTTTTTTCATGCTTTTAACATCATAATTGTTATGATTGTTATTAAAGGCAGTATGGTTGAAGTGGTATTATTAGTAACATTGTTAATTGCAATAAAAATTAAGAAGTAGAATTATGTCTGAAAACCCAGGAAAGGGTAGATACACGAGATCAGGTAGGACTATTGATTGACTCCTTGGAGACAAATTTCTTGTGGACCTAGCAATATATAAACAAAAATTAAAGTCACAGTGGTTATAGCATGTTTATTTGCCTTCCTGCCATCAGTAGTTGATAATACTTAATTTTCATTACGTTAACACACCTAGTAATAAACACATTGCATCAACTTGCAGTTCCTAACCCCTGCAGTGTTGAAAGAGTTAGTGAAAATGAACATGAATTACTGTAAATGTTTAGATGAAATACATAAAAAGCAAAAAAATCGTATTTTTACTCAATAAACTGTATTAAAGCTGCTGTATACATGAATATTCTCTGTTGTTACATGTATGTATTTCAACATAAATTCAACCTGTAATTGAATGAGGTTTCCCTCTGATAAGTCTACAGTGTAACCTTGAAAGTTAACTTCTAAGTGAGATGGATGTAAAGGTGAATATTAACAAAGAGCAGAACCTAAGATTGATAATTTCCTAAATTAGGTTTGTATATTGGAAAAAAAAAAATTACACATTTTCAGGAAATAGCCTAATATTGTGATGGTGAATTTATGATAATAGCCTATAGTATCTTTGTGTCCATCATTTTTTTTTTTTTCTTTTTTTTTCTTTTTTTGTATGTCTGTACAGGGCAAAGATCCTGATGATTGACTAATAACTTTCATTACCAACCTGTCATTTATCAAAGGATTGCTATTGCTAACAATTTGCCCTGTCAACAAAGTCATTTATACAATGAATTTCTTGAAGTTACTGTAACTGAATACTATAGGAAATATTATTATAGCCATAATTCATGGTCATTTCTGTTTCTGTTTTTCATCTCTTTCCAGTTGCTCATAGATTGTCTAGGTATGCATGTAGAGATTATGATTTATAAATTTATAATTTTTTTAAGGGCAATTCTGAAGATAGCAATTTTTACCTTGCATAAAGCAGTTTGATTTGAATACTATTACATTTTAATAGATTTGTTATTGTCTTGATGTTTAGACTATATAATTTGTCTTAAATATTCACATCATTATTATTTATTTATTTATGTATTTTTTACAGGATATGTTTAACTCATTTACCTTATTCCTCACATTCATAGCATCTCACTACTATCAAATTGAGCGTAAGATTGCAGTTCATTATGTAAGATATCAGCAGTTTAAAAAAATTGTCCTGTTTCAGATTTCTGATGATGAGGATGACACTCACCCTAACATTGACACCCCATCGCTTTTCCGTTGGCGTCACCAAGCCAGACTTGAACGGATGGCTGAAAAGGAAAAAGAGAAGGAAAGATTATTAAAAGAAAAGGATGAGTAAGTTTTAAGGAAACTATTTTTATATATTTATTTTCAGAACATATCGTGTGTCTTAACATGTAGAAAGGTATGAGAACTTAGTTAGTATATGTATGGTTAAAGTAATTTAAAAGATAAATATATTAACCTATTGCTACTGGGGATGGTATGTATGTACATTTCATGGGCACTGTGAGTTTGATGGCTCCACAAGTGCTTAGTCACCAGTAAATCACTAGGTATATCTGTCTTGCCTCTTTACTGTTTTCCTTGAATTTCAGAAGCGTTACTTTATATCATGTTACCATTAGTATTTTTGATATTATAATATTATAATGTCTATGATAATGATAATAACTATATCATATTAATAGCAGGTTCGGTCATGTAGACGTGCTAATTGACTCCTTGGTGGCTGAGCACTTGAGCCATCGTTACGTAAAAACATTTCACATAATTAAACTATAGTTGGCATTACTTGATCCTGGCAGCTATGGGTTAATAGTATTCATTATTCTTTATGAGAGAGTCTAAAGATGCAAAAGTTTCTAAAATGTATTGTGAGATTTCCATGTAGCCCATATGTTGTGCATTAGATTGTATATAATCCGGCAGTTGGGAGGCAGAAATTAACATTTTTCCCTAAGAAACATATGTTTGTAAAAATAATTCTTTTAGCCAGTATTACTGGTACCCATATCTGAAGAACACATTTTTGGAGTACCCAAACAGGGGACAATAATCCCAACTCATTAAATTATAACTGTTTTGTAGGTCATACAGTTTATAAAAAAAAGTATTGGAAATTCATACCTCTGGGCAAACAGCCAAAATGGCAGAAGATTAATTACAATGCTCTTAGAGTTGATTTGTTGTTGTAGCACACTTTATACATGTGCACATACGTTTATAAGTATGTACTTGCTTTCATGTATATATGAATACTTATAGATCCAAGTACACCTGATTCATGCATGTACATTCTAATGACACCAGCATGAGCACTTGGATGTACAGTTTGATGGATATTTTTATTTGTATGCCCATGTGTGTAGATGACCATACATGTCTGTGTGTAAGGGGTGTACATGGATGTGCATATGTTGTACATAAATCTATGTGCAAGTACATGAACAGATATTTGAAGCAGAAAGTCATGTATATAACTATGATCAGGATTCTAGTAGCATTTGATAACTGATGAAATCCATTGATCTGAAAATAGAAGACAGCATTAGGTGACACCTAATATTTTCTTGAAATTAGAGGGGTGAGGATCTAAATGTTGGAGTGATGACACTTTTGTATATAAGGCCAACCTGCTTCTCTATACATCAATACAGGGTATTTGGTCATTAGTTAAGAGAAACATCTCACAGAGGTTGGAGAACACTAGGTTGGGAGTACTGGAATTGTGAAAATATAGGAATTTCACAAAACTAATAAAAAAATAAAAATAATGCTAAAAAAATGTTTGATAAAAAAAAAACTATTTGGCATAATGAAAACCAGCTATGACAACTATCTTATATGGTAATAGTACAATGTCTCTGATTATAGTGATGAACATAGTTGGAATTTTCATATATTTCATTTGGCATGTACATACATTCCATACCTACATTGGGCTTATTTTATTTATTCTTTTTACACATAGATGGCTCCACTTGTACTAAGTCACCAATGAGCCAACAATGAGCACTGCTTATCTAACCTGTTTACCTTTTTCCTTGATTTTCAAAAAATATTTGATGTTATCTTATATTGCCACTACTAATGTCAATAACATTTTAGTAATTATAATGTCTATAATAAATATAACACCATCAAAATTGATAGCATTAGTAAAAGAAAAAATGTTCTTCTCGTAAATTCAAAGAAAGGTGAAATCAGGTAAGGTCACAATTGACTAGCTGAGCCTGCTATGTGCAGAAACATTTCATAGAAAAATAGAAAATGAGCACAGCATTTCCCTGGTGACATTGGGTTAAGCTAATATTCTGTGTCAGGTCATGTTATCCACTTAACTCTTAAATGGCAGGTTGTATGATACTGTGTTTTTGCAGAAAAGATTAGGTGGTGTAATATTTTGCCCAAGGCTCAAGCAGGTGGAATTTTACCAGCCTGAGAGGATCTAAGGTCACCCTCCATCCTACTTTTTGTTGATAAATAAAGTGAATAAGATTATCACAATAAATATGTAAACAAAAAGTCAAAAATGTTTTTTGAGGCTATAATAAAATTATTATTATAATTTTTTTGTGGACATTATAACAAAATTACCATTCATAGATTTCATATAAAAACAAAATAGTCTAGATTTTGCACACCATCCACAGATATGAGAAAAGAGTTGAAAATTTAAAGAAGAAGCTACAGACCTCTGATGGACCTGCAGAATCTACAGATATGACACAATTAAAGGAAGCATTGAAAGAGTTGGAGAAGAAGGGACAACAGCTGATAGAACACGAAAAAGAATTAGAAAAGAAGGATAGG